CACTACACTGGTTTGCTTTCAGAGCCTTTCCAGAGTCATTTTTCATCCCTTAACCAAATCTCAAAGGCCGTTTGCTATTCCTTCCTCCCGGATGCACCAGTGCTCTTACCCTGCACTCCCAAGAGCCACAATATGCGAAGTAGCCTGTAAAGTATCGTCAGTGAACCAGCTTCAGAAGCTGATTTTTAAATCATTTTTATTTAGTATCTGGATTCCAGCAGCTGTGTAGAAGTACACTCACAAATCTGGGTATTTTATTATGCTGCCAATATAGAGATTGCACAGATCATAACTTTGTCCTGCCAGACTGCTGCGTGGCCTTCCAGTTCTTGCAGACTAGTTTGTATTGTGATCATTCTTTGCTTTATTTAAACTGGAAAACAGACAAATCCCAAATCAAGCTGACCAGGAACTCTGGTGCACTTAGACCTCGTGTTGCAAAAAGTGCATCTTTTCTTCCTGCCTGTGATCAATTTATAATTACTCCAGATAAAAAGAAACCACAGAAAGCACAGCTAGAGGCAAGTCACAGGTATCACTGTGCCTAGTAAGAAGGAAAACAAGCTTTGTACTGATCATTCTCAGAATTTTCCTGGAACTTCTATTTTTTGCTTCTGTTTCTCTGCAAGGTTTTGGTCCTCCACCTAACACGTATCAGTAAATCAAAGAGATCACAGCATTTTTCCTGGATGTTTTTCATAAAGGAGCAGAGAGGTTCAACAAAGAACCCCAAATCCCATAGCAAACCATTGTGTAACACTTTCATTTTATTAGGGAGGCAAAAAAGAACAATTACAAAGCTGCTACTGGGATTGAATATGTAATACCCTATTAGAAACTACTACCTAAAGCCACTGACACCTCTCAGAGGAAATGGTGGGAATACATCCATAACTTGTAAAAGAGTGGTCAAAAGACTGGTGGTGAAGTAACTTTCATGAGGACTGGAGGCCCATCAAATGTGGCGAACAAAATCTTACTTTAATGTCACTGTCTGCTTGTTAATGCCATTTGTGTTTATACAGGGACTTCACCTTTCACAGCCTATCTTAGCCTTTTATTTGATTCTTCAAATAGTATCTCATCAAGCTTTACAAATCCTCAGTATTGATAGAATTGATAGGAAAAGGTGTTTGGGGCTCACAGTTTTGGATCTGTTGATCCTGTCAGTGAGCAACTGGCTGTTTGTGTTAAAACTCAATATAATACCTCTTCACAGAGCAGAAATTCCAAAATTGCTGGAAAAAAAAACAGTTTGCAGGGGCATAATAACCTTAAGGAAGCATTTTGAGAGAAGCTGAAGACAACCTGTGAATCAGAGAGTCACAGAATGATTTGTGTTGCAAAGGACCTTAAAGCTCATGCAGCTCCAATGCCCTGGCATGGGCAGGGACACCTTCCACTAGAGCAGCTTGCTCCAAGCCCCATCCAGTCTGGCCTTGAACAGTGGCAGGGATGGGGAAGCCACAGCTTACTTTGTCGTGTCCCTACCTGCCCTTGTCCAAAGCCCCTCTCCAGATTTCCTGCAGCCCCTTTAGGCACTGGAGCTGCTCTCAGGTCTGCCCTTCAGGAGCCTTCTCTTCTCCAGGCTGACCCAGCCCAGCTCTCTCAGCCTGGCTCCAGAGCAGAGCTGCTCCAGCTCTTGCAGCATCTCCATGGCCTCCTCTGGACTCGCTCTAACAATTTCCTACCTATCTTATGTCAGGGAATTTTATTTTTCCCTTGAGCTTATAAGAGGCTCAAAGCTCCTCAGTATTAATTAGTCATAAACCAGGCGAGACCACAGAATTCTTATCCCATTTCAAGGAGGAGAGATATAATGGTTCAAGGAAGCTATTTGTTCCCACATGCAGTTTGCACTGCCACATGTTGAACTATACACAGTTACTTTGCACTATATTGTCACTTTCCATGGACGTCTTCCATCTGAACTTTTGAGGCAGGGTGATACTTTGACATGAACTGTCAAAATTCACTGGACACCAGAATCATGCAAGTCTTAAGAATGTCATAACCATTTAATGAAAGTGAAATTAGAATAACTGAAGGTTTATGTTCTTAGAAGAATATTTTTTGGGCTGTATCCAACCCAAATATTGGTGTGCAGGATACAATATTTGCAGCAATTAATAGCACTTTACTGGATTTAGATGGCTATTGTGGTTTCTGGACATTTAAATTTCTGAATTTAGTTTTAAAAGAAAAAAAAGCACAACCCAAAACACTGATAATATGGATTAAAACGTTTTCCACCCATTTAAAATGCAATATACATGAGGACAGTTTTATTTCTTAACATACACTTATACCAAGTTCAATAAATTACTGCGTTCACATTTTCATTAGCTGTAGTCATGGAGTTGCAGATGGCTCTTAAAAATCAGTCTTTGCTTCATTGTCCATGATTTTTTCATGAAGCATGTCTTCCTAGAGATTTCTTCCTCCTTAAACATTTATGTCATACCACACTGGGTCGTCAGGAACACCGATTGATTTATCAGTCTTCAGTATACTGCATTGTTTCACTTAGATTTCAAATCCCAGCTTCACCACGCTGCTACTCTTATACTAGATCTTACAGTAAAATGCACTGATGCTGATAAATTACTTATTACCTACAAAAAATATTACTTTATGTAGATACCTCATAAAATAGGAAACAGATGATTTCTCAGACTGCTAGGACATTTTTAAAGCTCTGAAATATCCCGAGCTTCTCTCCTGTTATCCATTCATTAGCAGCATGGACAGCTATTGCACAGTGCTGGTCATCCCGGGCACAAACTCTCCTGCTTATGTAGAGCAGATATGTGTGCACAGAAGCTGAACTTTAGCAACAGGCACCACTAAGAAAGCTCAGAGTTATATTAGTTGAAATTTTGATTTCCCTTCTTAGGAAAAAAAACCCTAATTTTTGAAGTGCAAATCAATCAAATTTGGGTGTGGGTATATGGGAATAGCACTCTTGTTCCCTCTTTGTGTCTGTGAGTCATTACATACGTGTTTCAGATCTACTTCTGTTTATCTGATGCATTTCTCGGGAGCTTCTTCACACTGTAAGTGTGCAGGATATTACACTGGGTGTTAAACACTGGGTGCAGTGTTTTGTCTTACTATTTTCATGTAGGCTGCAGCTTAACTTGGAACTTAAATGAATTCTGAGCACGAGACACTGTACAAATGCAGAGTAACAAACAAAACCTCCCTCAAGACCTCATAAAATGAATAGAGAAGTGGAAGAAGAAGTGCTTCCTTATCTAGTATTGGGTGGGAAATGAGTCAAGAAGATGTAGATCCAAATAAACTCACTTTCTGGGTATTGTTTAATGAATGGGGACTGCAAGGGTCAGCATTAGAGAAGGTGGCATGGTTTAGGGGTTGGCAAGTTCACAGTAGAACTAGACTGAACCCTCAGTGCCATTCATTAGCCCTCTCTTTGTTTTATTTACAACTTCTCTGATGCTGTTTCAAAGTATTTAACAAACTACTATGACAGTCAAGGTTGATGCAGCAGCAATCTACCTGCTCAGGATTATTCCAGTTAACTATGTAATGGCACCAGTGCTTGGAAGAGGTGTTGTCTGGCTAACAGAATAATCTTCTCTTCTTTTTACAAAAGCTTTAAATCTCTTAATTTCATCCCTCACTCAGAGGATTAAGCCACACCAATACTGCAGTCCAGGATCATTAAACTGCACGGTTCCAACTCCTAAATACTTTTTGAGTTTTCCTTTGCAAAAGACTACCAAAGCCAGACAGAAGAGGAGAATACATATGTCCACATTTAAAGGAGTTAGAGGACTCGTGTTTTTTTTCTTACACACAAGTTCTCCAGCAACCACAGGCAGCAGGAGTCACATAGAATCATGAGCAATGCAACAGTAGGAAGCTCATCCTATTCTCTGCTCAACCTGCTCTTCTCATGTTGACCACGTGCCTGCTCTTGTTCCAGGTCTTCTCAGACACATACTGAGCTGCAGAGTAAGGACAGGTACCAACGGGGTGAGATTTCTGCCCCCCAGATGGCTAAAAGAAGCTTTGACAGAGGCTGTCAGCATCAGCCTTACCAGACACAAGAGGAGCAATACTGCTCAGGGGACTGTTCTCTTAACAGATCTGTGCCATTTCCTGAAATCACACCTGAACCCCAGAGAATTAAATTTAATGAAGATTCTCTTTAACAACAGCAGACTGCAAACCGACCCCAGATGTGAACCGGGTAATAGTGATGTATTTCAGGGAGGTGTGTGAACGCTCAGCAGCAGAAGTATTCAAAGAAAGGATGTGAAAGGAAATATAAGGGCCAGAGTCGCTCAGTGACTGTGATAGAGCAGTCATGGATACTTAAGGCTAGGATGAAAGCAAAAAGAAACGAAACAAAACCGGCACCACAGAAATTAAGTTTAATTTGCAAATAAAGACAACTTGCTCCATATTTCATAATTTTTGGAGCCTTAGAAAAATGCTTAAGGAAACTATTTTTGGAGGAAAACAACAGGCCGTTTGGTAAGTTTTTCCTCTGATGACACTTAGTCAAAACAAAGTGAGACTGCAGGCAGTCATCAGAGCTCGCTTCATAGTTTGCTCCACCGCCTTTGAAAGTTTACATTTAGACGTCCAGCAAGTTCAGTGGAACCGGGTTAGACCACACATACTCCCTTGGAGGAGAGTTTCTGGATAATTTTTGAGCTTTTGAGCTGAAAGCTTTTGGGAAGGGTGACAAGTATTTGAGCCAGTGGTCAAAAACCATACGGTTTAGTATAAAACTGAGAGGGCTGTAGCTGCCAAATATTTCCCACTTTGAAATTCATACCTTGATTTTACTTTTATGTTAATTTTGGCAGAACTCTTAAATCCCAGAAATAGAATCTCTATCATCAATACCTTTATTTTTTTCCTTTTTCCTGAAAATATAGAGATCCCTGTTAGGATTACAAAATTAGGCTGTGATTAAATGAATTCCAACTTCAGATCATTCCCTCTGCAGAAAAAAAACCCAAACCAAACCCCACTAGCTTGATTTTAAATAACAAAAGTATCCACACTAATACTCAAAACAAGGGAGGGCACACTGAATTCCACCTGCATTCAAGGGTGCCTTGAGATGTTTCCATGCCCCTTCTTTGGTGCAGCTTTAGATACACTTGAAGCCTTTTGTTGCACAGCATGCTTTGCTGAATAAGGATGTGATTGCTCATGCTTCTTTGTCCAAGAAGAGTGCTTCACTGAAAGAGGACCCAATTCTCTGCTGATTCTGAATGGAGACCTCTCACTTGTCTTGAGGAAAAAAAAACAGTGCCATGTCAGGTCAAGAGATGAGGAGCATGACTTTCTTGAACAGAGTCTGCGATGGACACAGCTGTAATGTACCTGCCTTTACACGTGGAGATCTCAAGCTGAAGGTGCAGAAGGGCAGGCTTAAGATGCTCATCTTATGATGATGATCATATAAAATGGCAGATGCTCTGCCATTTGAGGAGGTTCCACTTGTGGGGGCAGAGGACATGGAATGAGCTGGGGTTGTACAGGGTACACATATATGAATTTCTTCCTAATGTCTAATCTAAATCTCTGTCAGGTTAAAGCCATTCCCCTTGGCCTGTCCCTACAGGCCCTTGTCCCAAGCCCCTCTCCAGGTTTCCTGCAGCCCCTTTAGGCACTGGAGCTGCTCTAAGGTCTCCCCTTCAGGAGCCTTCTCTTCTCCAGGCTGCCCCAGCTCAGCTCTCTCAGCCTGGCTCCAGAGCAGAGCTGCTCCAGCCCTCGCAGCATCTCCATGGCCTCCTCTGGACTCGCTGCAACAGCTCCACGTCCCTCTTGTGTTTACTATTTAAAGCCAAGGAGCACAACCCGTGCCCCAAGGCCCTGGTGACTGCTCTGGGTCCCCCGGAGGCTCAGGGGACCGGCTGACACCCGGACGCCACAGCACGGCGCTTGAGGCGGCAGGAAGCGGGCTGCCGCCGCGCGGGGTGTGCCCTGCCCCGGCCACGGTGGTGCCGCGGCCTACATCAGGCCCTCCGAGCCGCGGCGGCCGTGCTCGGCCCCGGAACTGCCGTTCCCGAGCCGCGGGGCCCCGGCGGACCCCGGCGCACGGACCGGCGGCACCGCCGAGGCGGTGCTTCCTGCGCGGCGGCCCTGGGGAGGGCCGAGGTACTCTCGGCCGCCGTCTGCCCGCGCTCGGGCCGCCCCGCCGGGCCCGGCGCTCTCCGGCCTCGCCATGCAGCGCTTTACGGTCAACATCAAGCTGCCGGCGCGGACCCTGACAGGCGCCCTCAGCGCGCCGAACAGAGGCGCGGCGGACTGGTGAGGGGCCGGGCCGCGGGCGGGCTCGGGAAGGGAGAGGGATGGCTGGGGTGTCCCGGGCCTCAGCCGCTGCTGGGCTCCGCTCTCCCGTGCCTGCCTGGTGCTGCCTCTTCCCGCTGTCCGGCAGCGGCAGGTCGCGCTTGGAATGTGCCGTTCGTGCAGCCGCAGGTCCGCAGGCTCAGCCTGCGGTGGGCGCTGTTGCTGCTGCCCAGCTCTGGAGCAGCAGCAAAGCCGTGGCCGCGGGTGAGCACGGTCCGGTCCCTTCTGCCAGCGACACTTGCTTCCTGGGCAGAGGTCTTGGTGCAATGAACTGCAGAGATCAGAGCAGCTGCTTCTGGTTTCTGTTCCTGTTATTTGTGAGGCTTGATGTAAAGCCCGTACATACATTGGTTTATGCGTTCATTGCTCTGAACAGTGAGTTCACCCAGCTGGCCATTATCCTAATACTGCTGAGACTTAAGGAGAGAAAATGATTCTATCATTCTGTAAACTGAATGAGCTGAACCAAGTGATTTTTAAAACCTGCTTCCTTTAGGTTTGTCTGCACTGTGTGTGAACATTGAAGGCTCTGAAGTGCTTAGTTTGAAACTTGATTTTCGCTTTTGACAGTTCCCACTTGGTTGCTGTTCATTGCAGCTTTATAATTGCCATTGGTGGCCTCAGTAACCTCTCCTCAAATCAGATGGGCCTCAGCAGATTTTGCACTATTACTGTAGTCATTGTTCGCATGCTCCCTTTTTGGCTTTAAAAAAGAATAAATATACTGTTAATTATATAATTGCAAATATATTGCTTAGCTGCATGCTTATTTATAAAATCTGGGAATGCACTTCATGACTTTATACATCATGTCTTGAATTTACACAAGAGGTTTATTGTAGATGGACACAAAGAGATGCTTTGCGGTGGGTTAGGGGCCAATCAGCAGACAGTGAACAGCGTAGCAATGTCATTTTATAGCGCTTTTCAGTTTTATGTTATTAAAGAATTGTTACTGTTCAATGTTTTGTGTCTAGTAGCATGCATTCAATTTACAAAACAAGGAAAAAAGCCTCATTCTTGTTGTGAAATGAGTTTTGTTCTTCTTTGCTTGTTTGATGCCGATATGTGCTTTTCTAGGGGCTGGCAAGGTTTGATTGCATATGGATGTCATTCTCTTGTGCTGGTAGTTGATGCCAATACCGCTCAGACTTTACAGGTTTTGGAAAGACACAAAGCTAGTGTTGTCAAGGTGAGATGTATGTGTTTTAAGGTATATTACTTGATTCTGGTGTATCTGTTATTTTTCCAAATCAGTGTAAATGCTTGACATCATTATTGCACTTGATTTTCACATAAAATTTGGTGTAAATTACCTGTATTTTACATGGTTTCTTTTGCAGCTAAATCAAACCATACATGCTGAAATTTGAGCTGAGGTTGGTGATATATATTTGTAGAAGGTATAGAATATATAGAAACATTTTATGGTGTTATAGAACACAGGGGAATGCTTCTAAGAAAGCTCTTAACATGGTGGAATTTCAAAGGAACATTATAAAATATCAGGTGAATCTCTTTGCAGATGTCTTTGCAGATCTTTCATGCTGGGGTAACCATTTGACTAGGAAGTTATTTTAAAGTTTTATGTCTTTTTTTTTACTGTGTTTTTACAGTCCTTACCTATGGAAAAGGAACAGTAGTAGATGAAACCAAATTTAAGCTAAGTGTAGGGTAGTTGTATTTTCCTTTGAAGGTCCCTGACTTGAAATTGCAAAGTTGGACTTGTGGTCAAGTGTAGAACAGGCTGTGTGTCTTTAATACATCATTTGTTTGAGTGTGAAGAATGGCAGATTCAGTCAAGGTTTAGAGGACTGTTTGACTGGCAGATGTAATGCTTGATAGTCCATGGCCTAAATGCTATATTAGAAAGCAGGCAGTAGTTTAAGAGGAAAAATAGATTTTTAGATGGGGGTATTTTGGTTGGTTTTGTAGTAAAAATTTGAACGCACCTTCTGGAGATTGTACACTATTTTTTCCCATGTGCGATTTCCTTTAAATGGACCATCTTCATATAGATACACTGATAGAGCAGATACGGCAGCTCTAGTATTTTAAAATTAAACAGAACTGTGTTTTCCTTGGGCTTGATAATGTATTGCATTGTGAGCCATCATGTTCTGATGATGTCCTGTTCACTGAAGAGCTTCGGCTTTTTTGCTGAGTGAAGTTTCAGTATATTCAGTAATTACACAGCCGGTGGTGTTTGTGTACTTCTGTGCAGTATAATGTATTTCTGTGCTACAGAGTCCAGCTAAGTGTGTGCATTTATAATAATAAGTAAAGTGTTCAAGTCCTGAAAGAAGATGTTGGGTACAGCAAAACTGCTTCAGATCCATTCATGATTTTGGCCAAAAGCCATACGCATAATGAGATTGTAGTTTTAAAAATGGCTGTAAAGTTCAGGAATTAGTTTTGCTTGATTAGAGAGAATTTTGGAACTGGCAAAAAGGAATGTAGAAGTTTTTAAGGGGTTAGGTTTCAAAATGGATACTGTATGTTGTTTTTTGAGACTGGTGTACCAACATGTTTAAAAATGGTACTAAAATGTCACAAAAGACTGAAAAGTCTTTTCCTCCAGCATATCTATATATGTGCCCAAATCTTTCTGGGAGGTTTGAGGATTTGCCTGAATGTTGCTTTCAAATGAGAGCTTGTGCTACTCTTAGGAATAGTGTCTCTGGTGACAAATGTTAGGCAACTTGTCTGACTCACAGTAAGGAGAGGTTATTTCTCTTGTTATCTCAGAGCAAAGGTGTGTACACGACAGCAGCCACAGGGTCAGCATCACTCTGAATCAATACCTTTGCTTGCCTTTTAGCAACTTGTTTGGGGAAGCATACCCTTAAGCCTCTGTTGTCTTCAAGCTGCCCTTTAAAGTGAATAAATCAATTCCAGTGTCTGTAATTGTGTAAAAGAAATAGAAAATATAAGTGTTATGGAGGTAGCAACTGTAATGATGACTCTGCTTTGAAATTTTCGCTTAGCTTAGCTAACAAGTTGTAGCAAAATTAGGTTTTGATCCATGTAGTGATATCATTTTAACGTGCTTCAGTTACATTCATTAGCTTTGAACAGTAGCATCATCTCAGTAGGAAACCAAATGCTAAAGTCTAAATAGTTTTTATATAACTTATAAGGTAGATTTTCAAAGCCACTATCTGATACTTTATTAACAGAAATAGACTGTAAGAAGATGACGAATTTATGGGAAAGAATGAAAGAATTCTATGGTACTTTAAGAAATAGGCATTATGTGAGAAAACATGAAGCCATGACCATTGCAGATCCCCTAACATTTCTGAGGAATTTTCTTCAAGTCCTAACTTTTTTTTCCTAAAGAGTTTGTAAATGCTAAAAGCATAAATAAGCTGAAGGGGATCTCTAAGAAGTCTGTTGTATATCTGAATGAAACTCTTTGTAGTAGAGATTCACACCTACAAAGTCAGGCTACAGGACATCTTCTTGCCAAAACCCCATGCTTCAGTTCTGAAAATACCAAAACATACCACTATTTGCAATAAAAAAAGCAATTGTTTCACAATCCTTCTGCAGCCCATTTAAGTATTTTTCTTTAAATACTTCCTGGCCTTTGACTCTCATAGCTGTGTCTGGAATAGTTAATAGTTTCACTGAAAATTGTTCCATATTAGATGTCCCTCTGCTCTTAAGGTGTTACTGATGACTTTTTATGGAGTAGATTATATCTGATTTTTTTGTACCTTTGCAAAGAGTGCTTGAAAGAGTGCTTTTACAAAAGGAAATTTAATTACAGGAGGATTTTTTTGCGCTAGAACAAGAAATGAGAGGATTGACATTATGTTTGATAGGGATAATAGGGCTTCATAAATTAGGTGTGAAAATTAAACAGGAACCAGAGATTACTTTTTTAATGTCCAGTGCTGCAGTAGTTTGAAGTCAGGGTCAACAGGCAGTGACCAATACAGCATGAAAATAATTTCTTTTAGCAGACACTCAAGCTGTGTGTGGGGACTTCATTGAAGCAGTGCTACTGCAATGAGAAAAGAGGGTTTACAATGCGGGTGTGCCACAGGAGCTCTGAGAGTGATTGTGCGAAGATCTCCTTTGTGTTATTCAGAACTTCAGGTGACAGCTCCTCCCGTGGGAAATTCTGTTTTCCAGACTTGGAAATTGCTCCTAACTAATATATATTTAATTTGGGAATAAATAGCTTTGTAGGTTCTACAATTACTTTTTTTAGTAGCTACATGCAGGTAGGCTCATGGGTAATTTTTATTGAACAGCAGGGAAGCAGGAATCGAAAAGCTGAAATTTGCAGATAGAGGACAGTCTCCCAAGAATTTTTTGTTATTCTGATAGAAACCTGCTTTGGGTTTATAGCTGGAGCTCTCTGAAGAGTGCTTGTTGTGCATGTGTAATGTTTGCTTAACTTACTCAGCCAGGCATTTGAGATCCATCCTGGTCACACCTCTGAGAAGGGATAGCACAGCACAGAGGTGGCTGCAGTGCTCCGAATACTTGTACAAACCTAATTTATGTTGCAAAGTTAGTGGTGCCTAATGATAACTCTATTTCCATGTTTTTAATGCCATGCTTTCAATATCTGCAAATAGCCTTGTTTGTCATTGCACTTTCTCTGTCAGGTACTGTGACAGCACACAGCTAGCTAACTACAGTGTCATTTTTGCAGTAAATATTAACTTAGCATTTATGTTTCTTTATTCTATCAGTGTCTTCAGTCTCTCTTAGGGGCGGAAGTTCACCTTATACCAGGTAGCAAAACAAATCCATATTGAATACATAGGGAAGAAGTCGATCTTCTCTCTCTATAATCTTGGGAGACTTGTAGACAGAATGTTTCAAATTTCAAGACACCTAGTTCTTGTAAGTATCGCCAGCTTCCAAGCCCCTG